TTAATCCCAGCACTTGGGAGGCAGAGGCAGGCGGATCTCTGTGAGTTCAAGGCCAGCCTGGTCTACATAGTGAGTTCTAGGACAGCTGGGGCTACAGGGAGACCCTGTCTCAAAAAGACCTAAATAAATAAATTAAGTAAGTAAGTAAAAGGGGGGGTATGTGCTGAGGATATAACTTAGTGGCGGACTACTTGCCTAGTGTACGCAAGGCTCTGGATTAAATCCCTAATACTGACCAAAAAGAAGAGGAGGAGGAAGAGGAAAAAGAGGAGGAAGAAGAAATAATTAAAATATTAATAAAAATATTTATCACAAAAAGGGAGAAGGCAGTAAAAAAAAAGAACTGAGGAACAAAAATTACATGAGATCTAAAGAAAACAACAAAACACTTCTGTAAATCCAACCACACCAATAACTGCATTAAATGTAAATGGATTAAGCTTTCTAATTAAAAGGCAATGACTGTCAGAATATATATATATATATATTCTCATACTCATACACACACACACACACACACACACACACACACACACACAGATACACACATTTTTTTTTTTAAGATAGAGTCTCCCATAGCCTCAGCTGGCCTGAAACTCACTATGCATACAGGCTGGCCTCGAACTCAGAGATCCACCTGCCTCTGCCTCCCAAGTGCTGGGATTAAAGGTATGCACCACCAGGCCTGGCAGAATATATTTTTAAACTCTCTAGATATTGTCTATATTTAATGCCACCCATAAGAGCCTTGCTTGAAATTTATTGATATAAACAGGTGAAAGAGAGGATAGAAAAAGACATACTATGCAAGTGCTAGCTTGCATATGATATGGTACTAAGTAGCCATATCATTATCAGACAAAATGGACTTTCAGGAAAAAAGTCTGATTACACACAAAGTAGCATTTTACTTATTTTTTGAGATGGGGGGGCTGGTCTCATTCTGTCTGTGGGCTGATCTCAAGCTCTTGGGCTCAGATGATTTCCATCCTCAGTCCTCCAATTTGGGGGGGGGGGACATGTTGACACCACTGCCATGGCTACTGTGGTACTGTACAGGAATGAAAGAGTTGCTCTAGGGCTGGGTAGATGGGTCAGTTTGTAGAGGGCCAGCTGCACAAGCATGAGGATTTGAGTCTGAACCCTGAGCTCCCACATAAACATCAGGTACAATGTGCCCATCTGCAAGCTCAGTTACAGAGGAGGAGGCAGGTGGGAGCCGAAGCTCACTGGCTACCAAGTCTGGAGGAAGAGATGAGCGCCAGATAGTGAGAGCAGGGAAGACCTCTGAATTTAGCTTCTGGCCTCCACATGGGCAGACACACACACAAGTACATGCACCCCGCCCCCGCCATTAACCAGCTTGCCCAAACAGTGCTAATATACACATACAAGTACATGGGCACACACAAGCCAAGCCATTAGAAAGATAAACATACAAACCTAACAGATATTCAAAACACACAGCTAGGGGCTGGAGAGATGGCTCAGCAGTTAAGAGAGCACTGGCTGCTCTTGCAGTAGACCCAGGTTCGAATCCTAGCACCCACATGACTGCTAAAAACTGTAACTCTACTTCCAGAGGATTTGACACCCTCTTCTGTCCTCCTTGGGCACTGCACGACACAGGTGCACTTACACACATGCAGGCAATAACTCATACACATAAAACAATAAATAAAATATTTTTTAAAAACACATGGCAAACACCAACAAACTGAAGAGAAACAGTTGGAAACCTCAGTATTCTTCAATAATCAGGGCAAGATACAATCAGCAAAGAACACTGAAGATCCACACCCCCATTAACCAGCTTGCCTGAACAGTGCTAATGCTTTACTCTGCAGCAATAATATATAATCCTGACAAGTAAACACAGACGAAGCCCAGATGGGTCACATACCAGGTTATGAGAAAGCCAGTAGCTTTGGTTCTCTCTCTCTCTCTCTGTCTCTGTCTCTGTCTCTGTCTCTCTCCCTCACTAGGTTTATGTGGTGCTGGGGATCAAAGCACAGGCCTGTCTGAGGTACGTAAGCACTCTATAAATTAACTGAGCTAGATCCCAAGTCCTGGCAATTTCTTGTTTTATTTTTTATTTATTTTTTTAATATTTTATTTATTTTTATTTTATGTGTATGAGTGTATCTGCCCCCATGTATGAGTGCACCCAGGTCATGCAATGCCACTGTGGAGGTCAGAAGAGGGCTTCAGATTCCCCTGGAACTGGAGTTAAGGATGGTTCGTAGCCACCATGTGGGTGCTGGGAATTGAACCCGAGTCCTCTGCAAGAGCAGTCAGTGCTCTTAACCACTGAGCCATCTCTCCAGCCCAATTTCTTGTTTTCAAAAACTTATTTATGCTGGGCGTGGTGGGCACACGCCTTTAATCCCAGCACTTGGGAGGCAGAGGCAGGCGGATCTCTATGAGTTCAAGGCCAGCCTGGTCTACATAGTGAGTTCCAGGACAGCTGGGGCTACAGTGAGACCCCGTCTCAAAAAGACCAAAAAAAAAAAAAAAAAAAAAAGTTAAATGTGGCTGGGCTGGTGAGATGGCTCAGTGGATAATGGTACTTGCTGCCAAGTTTGACAACCTGAATTCAATCCCTGGGATGGAGCACATCTTTAATCCCAGCACTCAGGAGGCAGGTGCAGGTACAGGTGGATCTCTATGAAATTGAGATCAGCCTGGTTTACATAGCAAGTTCCAGGCCAACTAGGGAGACCTGTCTCAAAAGAAAAGAAAAAAAAAAAAAAAAGCACTTTCCATCAAGCCTGACAACCTTGACTTCAATCCCTGAGATATATATGGTGGAAGGAAAGAACCAACTCCCACAAGTTGTCCTCTAACTTCCACGTGGTGCATGCACCCACACAACGTTAAACATGGGCCAATAAGATGGTTCTGCAGGTATAGGCACTTTCCACCAAGCCTGACAACCTGAGTTTAATCCCTGGAACAGACACAGTAAGAGAACCAGCTCCCACAAATTGTCCTCTGACCTCCATACATGCACTGTGGCATGCATGCATGCATGCACCCACACATTCGATAGTTGAATAAATGAAAAAATAAGTTTTTAAGTTAAATGTCTGGTAGCATATGCCTATAATCCTAGCACTTAGGAAGCCAAGGCAGGAGGACTAAGAACTGGAGGCCAGCCTGAGTTACACAGGGAGACCTTGTCTCACAAAAAGATAATAAGCAAAAAATTAAAAACTAACTTTCTCAGGTGAACATTCACAAGGAAGCTCCTATATGTCTATCCAATGGTGAACAAAGGGAAATGAAGTCATCTACACAGTAAAACATTACCTACCAATGAAGAGGAATTAAGCCCTGAAACCTGTCACAACGTGAATGAACTAGTAAAATACTCTAGCTAAAAGAAGTCGGATCCAGGGGCTGGAGAGATGGCTCAGTGGTTAAGCACAGGTACTGTACTTGCAGAGGACCTGAGTTTGATTTCCAGCACCCATGTCAGGCAGCTCACAAACACCTGTTAATTCCAGATCCAGAGCATCTGATATCCTCTTCTGGCACTGCATGTATGTGGTACATATACATACATGCAGGCAAAACACTTATACATGTAAAAAAAAAAAAAAAAAAGAACTTAAAAAAAGTCAGAGCTGGGGGTGGTGGTACACTCCTTTAATCCCAGCACTTGGGAGGCAGAGGCAAGCAGATCCTGTGAGTTCCAGGCTAGCCCTGTCTACATAGCAAGTTCCAGGCCAGCTCAAAAAAGACCAAAAAAACCCCAAAAACAAACAAACAAACAAACAAAACCACAAAAAAAATAAAAAAGGAGAGAGGGGAAATGCAGAGAAGAAGTGTGCCCCCCACCCCGGTCTGCTCACCATAGGGGGTGGTAGGTCCCAGCTCGCTGGCTGCTTCCGCCATGTACTGAGCCAGCAGTTCCCCATTGGTGACCCTTGAGGGGACCTTCCTGTCCAGCTTCTCATACAGGAACTCTTCCACTCGGGCACCTGTGGGGAGACAGCAGCCAAAGCCATAGGGTTCTCCGGTCCAAGCAAAGATGACAGCCCCAGTGATGGAAGCTGACCCCAGCCAAGTCCTGCCCCAGGAGCACCCAGCCTGATGACTTCCAAAACAAGCTCTCACACTGTGTGAGAGCGCAGAGGAAGCCCAGGCTGAGGGATGTGAAGTGCCCGCCTGTGAGTCACACAGCCAGGGGTGACAGGGCCAAAGCCAACACCTGCCCGCATCTCCCTTAACAGGATTTACAGCGCATAGTACATTTGAACAACTCCCTGATCCAGGCCCCCAATCTTCTCTGTACCCTTCAGTCAGCGACACAGCAGCTTTAGAGGCGACACACAGTTCGCCACCACACTAGATTTGTGCTCCTGAGGGTTCGGTGGTCAGCCTGGGCTATGGCTTTAGTCAAGCTCTTTTCTGTCTCTGGCCTGGGGCCCAAGCTGCCACCTGTGTTTTGCCTGCCTCTTCTCATGTGTTCAGGCATTTCAACTCCTCCATGCAAGCCTGGCCTTCCCACTGCTCAGAGGGTGTCTTGGAGCCCTTCAGCCTCAGCCCCAAGCCTGATTGGGTGTCTACTGCCTCCTGCCCCATACCCACTCACTGGGATTGGGCTGCAGCAACACCTCGGTTTGCCTCAGGATGCGCTCTGTCCAGTTCTTGGTGCTGTCTGCCCGCGCCAGGAGGTTTTCAAAGTGGGCATCGAGCTCAGTCTTCTCAGCCTGGCCAAATTTCTCCTCTGTGAACTAGGGAAGAGGTGGTGGGAGAGGTCCAGGGTCAAGGACCCACTCTGGGTCTCAGTTGCCCCTTTTGTGGAAGGAGGGGTGGGTCAGCTGGGATCATGATTTCTGGAACCCCCCAGCAGCCCTGGCCACTCTCCCCACACAAACACACAGGTCCTTGCAGCCCTCACAGTCCCAGTGGGTACAGGCCCTCAGGAGGTGCCCACTGAGCACTTTGGAGCCTGGCTGAGGAAGAGAACTTGGTAGCAAGTGTTTCAGGGAACAAACAGGGCCCAGAGCAAATCCCAGGATTTTCAAGGGGCTCCATGGGTAGCTGGGGAGGAGTACCAGGGCAGAGAATGAGGAAAACCCAGGATCCCGTATTAGCGAGACCCAATTAAGTCCAGTTCTGCTCCTGTTGGGCTGTGTGACACTGCAGAAAGGGTTTCAGCTCTCTGAGCATCAGTTTCCCCAAACTGAAAACAGTCTTTCCCTCACAGGCTGTAAGGGTGAGACAGGAAAGATGTGGCTTAGACATGAGGGGTGGCATGGGGCCTGTGCCCAGCATGAAGTACCCACATTGTTGCTGATGGGCAGCGTGTCTGTGGAGGAAGGGACCTCAGGGAAGGAGGTCAGCCAAATGCTTGGACTCCAGGTGTGGTGAACAGGGAACAAGGCCAGCCCATCACAGTCAGCTGCTGGGTATACCCAGGGCTTAGGAGGCCACACAGGGCCCCCATCAGAGCTGCTGGAGTCATGTGGGCCACCTAGGAATAATCAGAAACTGGCCCAAGTCCTGGCCCTCTGACTATAAGAGACCAGAGATAGATATCCCCAGGCTCTTCCCAGCTTGTGTAAGGTTGTAAAAGCTGCTATAGGTGTAAGGTGAGGACAGACAGGGGCAGGGAGCCTGCGGAGCTCAACTTTACAACCTAGCCTCTGGGGCTTCCAAAGCAGGCAGGGCCAAGCACCTATTATACAGATGTAGCCACTGAGGCCAAGCTGAGAGGCAGGATGCGCTGGAGTCATGGTCAGCACTGTCTGGGGGTGGGAAGGCGGGAGGCTCCACTGAGCCACTGGCCATGATGAATCATCCAGAGGCTTCTAGCTCTAGAGAGGAGAGGAGCCACCAGGCCTCTCAGCAGCCATCAATTATGCAGCAGGCCTTGGGTTTCTTCAGGGTAGGCCTGCGCTACTGCCTCCTCCCTCCAGCCCTGTCCAGCTCAGCTTCCCCTTCCCCTAGAGTCCTGCCTCCCCTGGAATCTAAGCCTTAGCAGCTTCCCCCCAGACTTTCATGGGGTGCTGTTAGCCACTTTCCAGTTCAGAAAACCAAGCTCAAAGTAGCAACATCATCTGCTTACACCTCAGTTTCTCCCCAGAGAATGGAAATAACATGTCTCACAGAATGGCTTGACAGTTTTCTTTTCATCAGACTGGGGCCTCAAACATCCTATATGGAAGGCTCCAGTCCAGCCACACCCCAGCCCCAGGGTAGTACATGTTAGCTGGCTCATTATCAAACAGAAAGCCTCAGTAACATCAGTACAGGCACTAGGGTGCAGGCAGCCACTGGAGTTCACACCACACCCACGCAGGTTCCTGATGCTCCTGGGCTTTCCTGAGCCCCCCAGGCACCACCACCACATCCTGCCTGACTTGGATGAGGGCAGTCACCCCCTCTCTGGCTTTAAGAAAACCACTGCTTTTATTGTGATTACTGGCAATAGCCTCAGCAGAGCAGCTGCCCATGCCCACCTCCACCTGCCACGGGCATCTTATTCTAATATGCTATGGGTTTCCATATTCTAATAGGTTTCCCAGCCTCAGGGCTGCTCTGCCAACCTGGAACTGGTTCATAGACTCCATCTGACTTTCTAGGCACAGCTCTGTGGCCTTCAGTGAGGGAAGCCATCCCAAAATCACTCTCATAGAAGGGATCCTGCCCTCTATCCTCATCTCAGGGTAGAGGCCTTGTGCCCTTTGGGGAAACTGTCCCTGATGGGAACAGAGTTGCTCCCATCAAAGCTGTCCTTGGTAGGAACAGAGGGGACACTTAATGTGTCCTGGTGCCTGGCAAGGGGCCCCAACCCAGAGGAGCTACCCCTACATTGGTCATACAGAGCCCCTCCATCTTTCCTGGTGACTCCCACGTCTCTCCTGCACCTCAGGTTCCTCCCTCCTCTGCCACCTTGCCCCTTTCCTGCCAAGGGGAAGGGGATTCTGCCTGAGTCAGTCCCAGGCAGTTTCCAGCAAGATGTATCAGCAGGAGGGTGGGTGTGTGGAGCGGAGAAAGCCTCTATTTATAATGCTCCCAGCAGCTCCCTCCTCCATCCCAGTCTGGGCCTGGGAGCTGGCTCCAGCTCCAGTCCAGGTGACCCTGTGGGCCTACCCCCACCAGGCAGAGCAAGGCCACAAAGCCCAGTCCCACCCCCCAGCTCCCAGGCTCGCTCTGTGGGCCTGGCCAGGTCAGGTGGCAGGACCCAGAGTGGCAGGAAACTGGCAGATCAGGTTCTTCCCAGATGTGGGAGATAGTATGGTTGCCATGCCAATCCTGAGACGGGTCCCCTGACACACTCCCAGCTAGACTGGAGCTCTGGGGTCCTGGCACTCCCACTAGGGTTGAGATTGTCCATGGAGCTTGGAACAACAATCCTCACGGGGAACCCTGCGCTTTCTAGTAAACACGTCCACATGGGCCTCTGAGGCTGGCCGGGGCTGGGCTCCTTAAGGGACTGTGCCCAGCAGTGTCAACAAGGCCAGCCCAGGTCCACAGAAGCTCCAGGAACCCCACCCCCACCCTTGGAGCAGAAGCAGGTTTCCACCTGGGCCTCATACCTGGTTTACAAAAGGGTGGGGTGAGGCTCAGAAGTGACTTGTGCAAGGTCATACATGTACAGGTGTCATTTGACCACAGCTTCTAGTAAGCCCTGCAAGAGATCCCAAGGGATCCTCACAATCATCCCAGGAAAGAGGGGCACTCATTCCATTTCTCAGACTGAGAAACTGAGGCCCAAGGAGGTGAAGCCCCTGCCTCCAAGGTCACAAGAGGGGCGTTCACACCCATATCTGAATCCAGTCCTCCAAGGAGACATCAAGCCCAGACCTCAAATGGGTGCACCAAAGCATTATGGACCAGCACAGCTTCCCAAAGAGGCACCGGGCCAGATCCTAGCCTTCTCCCTATCCTCTAGGCCTGGAGAGTAAGAGGAAACAGGCCTCCCACATGACAGAAAGGAAATAACTCCTGGCTTCCGGCCTGACTATCCAAGCAGGTGAAAGGGACCGGATAGAAGCATAGTATCACCTACCCATTGCACAGGTGTGGAGACTGAGGTTCGCAGAACTTGCTGAGGGCATGTTTATGGGGCCCTGGGCCTGCCACCCAGGCCTCGCAGGACAAGGGCAAGGGAGGTAGCAGCCACCCGGTGCCCTCTCGCCTCCCCAGCCGCGCAGGCGCCAGGGCAGTGGGCAAACTGGTCAGTCCAAATGGGCACTGCTAGAGCCCGGCCCTGGGCCGCCAGGGAGGGCAGCCGAACCCGCTGCGCGCTCCTCTGGGCAGCTCGGGAGCAGGGCTGCAGGGCCCGAACGGTGCCACGGCGGCAGCTGCAGGAAGCCCGCTTCCCTGCGCCCAGGCTGCTGCCCCAGAAGCTCGCCGCCCGCGCCACATCCGGGCCCCGCGCCCGGCGCCGCGCCAGGCCTCACCTGCACCGCCCGGGTGAAGAAGATGCCCGCGTCCGACGCCAGCTTCTTCATGTTGAAGTCCATGGCGCGCCCGCAATGTACCGCCGCCGCGCCGGGCCCAGCGCAGCCGGCAGCCCCCAGGCTCAGGCACCCGCACCCCGCCCACCTGCTGCCGGCGCCAGCCCTGCGCGCCCGCAGCCTCTGAAGAACCGAGCGCGGGCGGGACCCGGCCGGGAGGGCCTGCGGCGGCCGAGGGGCGGGACGTAGAAGGGCCTTCGGGGCGGGGCCTAGAGGGGCGGGGCTTGCGGCGACCGCAGGGCGAGGCCTAGAAGGGTCTGAGGGACGGGTCTTGGCGGGGAAGGACTGCGTCAGCCGCGGGGCGGGGTCTGGTGGGCCTTCGGGGCGGGGCCTAGAGGGGAGGGGCTTGCGGTGACCGCGGGGCGGGGCCTAGAAGGGTCTGAGGGACGGGTCCTGGCGGGGAAGGCCTGCGTCAGCCGCGGGGCGGAGACTGCGACGACAGTGGGGCGGGGCCTGAAGGGCAGGGCGTGGTGTTGCTCGAGGGGCGTGGCCTGCGGTGGCAGCGGGGAGGGGCCTGCGGCGCGCGCTGCTGCCCCCTGCGGGCGGCGGGACGCACTAGCCAGACGCTCTGATGAATCCTTTTGATCAAGTCTGACAGGTGCTTTTAGGTGTCTGCAGGTATGCACCACAATTACGTACTACATGCTAATACTTCATGCAAACTTTAGTTTACTTTTTATGATCTTGAGGTTGTTTGTTTGTTTGCGACAAGGTCTCAATGTATAGCCCCGGCTGGCCTGGAACTTGTCATGGAGAAGAGGCCTTGAACTCATAGAAACAGGTATCTGCCTGCCTTCCAAGTGCTGGAATAAAGACATGAGCGACAACATCTGGTTATTTTGGGTTTTTTAATATGTGTGTTTGTGTGTGTGTGAGAGAGAGAGAGAGAGAGAGAGAGAGAGAGAGAAGATGGCTTCAATCCCCCTGCCTCAGCTTCCTGAATGTTGGGATTACAGGGCGTGTGCCATTTTGCCCATCTAGCTAGCAGACTTCTGAATTTCACAGAAATTCTTGCTAAGACAGTATTTTGGACCATTTAGCAGATGGTTCATCTGATTTCTCTTATCAGTGTTATTTCTATATTCTGCATCATCTTCTAAATAAATATTTGGTGCATGACATTACATCTAATAATTTGAA